TTCTTTGCTCTGGATGAGGAGAGACCCATCATTGCATCTAGATGGCTGCTTGCAAGCTTTTAAGATCCCAGTTGCTACTCGCCAAAGTAGGAGGTGGAACAATGTTTTGCATAGTATGTTATGCCAATTGAGCTTGATGTCCCCTGTGACTTTGGTGCCAGGCCCACAGGTCCAACTACTCGCTCCCTCTGGGTAGCTGAATAGCCAAACTTCTTGAAAGACAGACTAGACTATACCCATTCTCTTGACTTCTTCACTTCTTAACTCCTCAACCCTCAATCTGGCTTCTACCTCATATCCCACTGAAACTGCTCACAAAGGTAGCTATAACATCTGTATTGTCTGTTTCAAAAGAAACTTTTTGCTCTTATCTTTCTGGACTTTCCTGTGGCATTTGGCAACATGACTCTTTCACTCCTTGATATCCTCTATTCTCCCTAATCTCCTTGATAGTACTATTCTCCTGCCTTTTTTCCATACCTCTTAGCAATTCCTTCTTAAGGTTCCTTTGTACTTTCCTCCTTTATAGGCTGAGTATTAAATACTAAGTATTCCCAAGTGCCTAAGACGTTTGACTGCTGACCAGAAGGCTGATGGTTCAAACCTACCAGTCACTCCTTGGAAGGAAGACTGGGCAATCTACTTCCACAGAGATACCTCCTTGGAAACCCAAGGAGGAGTCACCATGAGTCAGATTTTACTTGATGGCTGTGGTGGTTATGTTTGTGTCAACTTGGCTGGGCCTGGTTGAGTGGCTGGGAAGCTGGTAGTAGTTATTCCCCATGATGAGACTGGCAATCAGCTCCATGGTGGAATCTATTGGAGCAGCTGAGTAGCTGCTTTGGGTATGTGGTCTGCTTCCTGTATATAAGAAACAGCTTTGGGAATTGTCTCTAGCTTATGGCATGCTTGAACCCTGCATGTAGTCATGTCACTGCTCAGAAGCCTGCCATGCTCTGCCAACCTTGGGACTTTCAATGGAGTTGAATTAATGGTTTGCCATGTGGTTTGGTAACATCAGGACTGTGCCATTTTACTTGTCAACCTTGGGCTTGTTAGCCTCAGCAGCCAGTAGCTGCCTAAGTGAAGAGATGCCTCTAGCTTCAATGGGCCGGGAGCAAGAGGCAAAGCTGAAGCCCAAGGTTTAGGGGCTTTCACACAGCCCCTAGAGCCTGGCACTTTTAACTTGGACTTCTAGCCTCCCAAACTGTAAGAGAATAAACTCCTGTTTGTTCAAGCCATCCCATTTGTGGTATGTTCCTGTCAGAGCGGTACTACGTAAATAAAACAACAGCTGTGAGTTTAGAGATTGGTATTCCCAAGTTAGGTCATTGGCCCACTATTTATTCCCATTTTTATGTCCCTACTCCCCTCGTTTCCCCAATATATAAATATACGTGTGTGTATATAAATGTACCTAAACATATTAAGTTGAACCATATGAAATTGCCAATTTTCAATCATTTTGACCTATAAAAATGGCAATTTCATACAGTTCAACCTAATATTTATAGATAAATAACTCTCTGGATTGGTGGACTAAGAGAAGAAATAACAAATAACCCAATTAGAAGATTGGAGGAGAATCACCAAAAAAAAAAAAACAAACTTCAAAATGAAGTCTCTAAAAATGTAAACACTGGGAAGAATTAGTGTACACTTTCATGTGAATTATATTGGTCAGACAGTGTAAGTTACAATTACTATAAAATGAATCTGAAACACAGGTTAATGTGATAGATAGTTAATAAAAGTGTCATTTAATTATGACAAACACTCAATAGGACAAGATATTTTTCCTGTAAATGTGGTCAAGAGTAAGTGATTTAACATGAAAAAAAGTTATGAAAGAAACATTACTTATACTTTCATTCTACTGGAATAGGAATAATCATTCTATAAGAAAGTGACTCTCAAACTCACTCAGATAGAACTCCTTGAAGCCATAGTGGTGTTTTTAGAAAATACCCAAAAATAGTAACACAATTCTATCATATAAGATTGGAATAGAAAATAACTGAATTACATATAATTATAGTTTATATATGTGTGTGTATATATGTACATATACACACACATATGTCTATACATATGCACACACATTTGTTTATGCATGTATGTATGTATGAAGTATACAACATGTATGTATATAAGTATACAACATGAAAATCATAGGGAGTTTTGTATGTTTTGATCACTACTTTATTACCCATGTCAAGAAGAGTGCTAGCACATAGTTGGTGCTCAAGTAATATTTAGCATATGGACAAAAATATAAATCAAAACCATCAAGCTAAGTATAATTAAGTATATCCTGTTGCTGCTGTTACGTGCCGTCAAGTCAACCCCGACTCATAGTGACCCTCCTTGGGTTTCCGAGGTGGTATCACTACGAAAGTAGACTGCCTAACCTTCCTTACAAGGAATGACTGGTAGGTTTGAACTGCCAACCTTCTGGTTAGCAGTCAAGTGCCTTAAGCACTATGCTACCAGAGCTCCTAGCTTGTTTTTATTAATATGTGTTTGCTACCTGGTCATTCACTTCTTCATCTGCTATAAACAGAAACAATTCAAGGTAATGATAAAGGAGAAAAACTTAGAAATTGAGAAAAATTGTATGCATTCATTAACTCTTGGATAGAAGGGAGTGGTAGTGGGAAGTGAATGAACAAAACCCCACTAATATTTGAGTTGAGTGATATAACACCTTAAAGTCTAGGTCCAAGGGAATCCTGTTAGAAAACCACTGCTACAACATGGGTTTGGAATCACCTAACTTCTGAAAATAGAATGAAAATTTTTTACTTGGATCTAAGCAAGGCAGTTTGCTTACCTTGAAATAGATAGTTGATGTAAAAAAGAGGTTTGCTAGATGGTCAAAAAGAAGTGGCTTCAACTCTAGGAATTAAAAGAAAAGATTATAAAAAATCTCTTCAATAAATACTACATTTTATTAAACAGCCCCAAATTTTCAAGTTACATACCAGAGAATTTACTAAAAGGAATCCAGCTCACAAGTTGAAGGAACTGTGCTTGACAACAGACACCATCCCAGAGAGGAAGGCTCTTATACAGGAATGCTTCACAGGAATAAAAGCCCTCCTGTAACATAAGTCAGTAGTAAAACATTATATTAGTTCCATATAAGGTACTCTCCAAACATTTTTATATAGTTGCTTCACATTTAGACTAAATCTTTTATCACTGAGAGGAGGAAGATGGTGTTGTACCTCTCTCTAGCCCACACATTTGTTCCCTCTATCATCTTAATTCCTGAATAACTAGGTATAGCAGATAGAAACAGAGATACTGGAGTTGTGAGGGAGAAGACAGGATACCAGATTTGATAGAGGCAGAGAAAAAAAAGCAGATTAAACAACTGGGAAAATAAATGAACCTGCCTAGCCAGTGGAGAGAGTGAGGGACAGAGAAGCAGAGACAGATAGGCGGAGAGAACAGGGAAGAAAAAAAAAAAAACCCACAGAGGTGGTGGGGACTCAGAATACCCACTCCAAGAGCTTCTGATGGAGACCTTGAGAGCTGAGCTGAGTGAGTAGATAGATAACCATACTGGGAAACATATCAAAACACTCCTTGCTCGGGCTGCCATGGAGCTCAGAAAGGAATGAGGGAAAGGAGGAAACTCAATCCAAGTAGGCAGAGCCCCAGAGAAAGCTCACAGTAGCGGGCTGGGGATCAACTCTTCCATGACCACTTTTTAACATAGAGCAGACCGGGGTACCGGGTTTTTGAGGCTTCCCAATCCAAGTGGAAAGTACAGGCCCTCTACCTATCAGGGTCTCTGTCGATTTTGAACTGCAGGTCTGTGATTGGCAGTAAGATGTCATAATTAGTAGCTGTCACAGGAAGACACAAATCAAACTGTCTAAGCCAGCAGCACCTCACTGAAACACAGTAAATGGGGACTCGCCACTGATGCTTTTTTCCCCCTCTTTTCTTTCTCATTTTTCCCCTTCTCCCCTGCCTCAACTAATAGAAGGAAAACTAAGCCACCTCGGCTCATCCCAACTCTAAATTCCCTTCATGATGAACAAAGACCTGCATCCACATCCCCACCAGTGATCCCACCAACACAAAGAAACATGGAGAGCAATGTAGTACAGCCTAATTAATAACCAAAAAGTACACCTGCTCCATACTTTCAGATATAGTAAAACATAAAATCAGGGTGAAACAAATCAATACGTAACTAAAAATTGAAGACAACAACTTCAAAATGTCTAGAAAACAGCAGACAACCCCAAATCAATCAAACAAAGGATAAAAGAATAGAAATAAAACCCCAGGCTAAAAAATTATCTGGGAAGGAATTCAGAAGAGATATATATAGGACTCTCTATGGAGCTCAAGGAAACCACAAACAGAATCAATGATAAGACAGAGTACTCAGGAAGAACTCAGGAAAACCATCCAAGAACAAAATAACAAGAGAAATACACAATTAGAACTTATATAAAAATAGCAGTTATAAATCCAGAAAATGAACACTAAAATTACAGAGTTAGACAACACAGTGAAAGGACAAAATTATGGACTAGAACTGGCCGAAGAATGCATTTCCCAACTAGAAGACAAATCCCTTGACACCAGGCTGTATGAAGGAAAAGCAGAACAAAGATTTTAAGAGAAATGCAGAGAATCTAAGAGTTATATGGGATGACATGAAAAGAAACAATATATACCTCATTGGACTACCAGAACAAGAAAAGGCAAAAAAAAAAAAAAAAAAAAAAAAAAAAAAAAAAAAAAAAAAAAAAAAAAAACACTGAGAAAACTGTGGAAGACTTGCTAACAGAAAATTTCCCCCATATCATGAAGGAAGAAAAGATATCCGTCCAAGAAGTTCAGTGAACCCCATACAAGACAGATCCCAAGAGAAAGTCACCAAGACATATCATAATCAAACTCTCCAAAAGTAAAGACAAAGAAAGAATCTTGAGAGCAGCTTGGGGAAAAAAGAAATGTCACCTACAATGGACAACCAGTAAGACTTAAGTTTTGATTACTCAGCAGAAACCATGCAGGCAAGAAGGCAATATAGGATGGCATATATAAAACACTGAAGGAAAAGACCTCTCAACCAAGAATTCTATATCCAGCCAAATTATTCCTCAAATATGAGGGTGAAATCAAGACATTCTCAGACAAATAGAAATTAAGGGAATTTGTGAAAACCAGACCAACCCTACAAGAAATGCTTAAGGAAGTCCTTCCAATAGAGAACCCACAACAAAGAACAGCAAATTAATATTAGGACACCTGACATCACCACTTAGAAACCAAACCAGAAACAGATGCTCAAAATAGACTCATAAAATAATATATACAAAGAAACAGGGGAATCAATCTGCAGATGACACCAGCAATAAAGCAGATAGAGGGAATAAAAGCTTTAATTACAAAACTTCCAAATGGAGAGGAAGACAGGACAATGTCTTTATAGAACTGACTGTTCCAAACTTAAGGAGGTAAGAATTTGCTTTGGGGTAACCACAAAGAAAAGTAACAATCCCCCTAAGCAAACTCAGAAAGAAGAAACACATATGGGCTTAGTAAGCACAAAAACCAACAATAATGAAGAAAAGAGAAGAAACACTTGATAACAAAATGAGCCCAGCACAGAAAAATACCTGGAACAAGGAAATCACCAACAACACAACAAAAAACCACAATGGAATGACAGCAATAAATTCATACCTATCACTAATTACCCTCAATGTGAATGGACTAATTGCACCAGTCAAGAGAATGAGAGTGGCAGACTGGATAAGAAAAGAAGACCCACTGACATGCTGCCTACAAGAGCCACACCTTAGACACAAAGATAAAAACAAATTAAAATTTAAGGGGTGGAAAATAATATACCAAGCTAATGCAACCAAAAAAGAGCAGGACTGGCAATATCAATTTCTGATAAAATAGACTTCAATGTGAAAAACAGCATAAGGGACAAAGAAGGTTATTATACAATGCTAAAAGGATCAATTGACCAAGACATCACCATAATTAATAAATATCTATGCACCCAATGAAAGTGCTCCAAAATACATAAAGCTTATATTAAATGAATGGAAAGGAAAAATAGACAACTCTATAATAGTAGTAAGAGACTTGAACACATCACTTTCAATGAGGGACAGAACAACTAGAAAAAAACTCAACAAAGATACAGAAGAACTCAACACAATCAACCAATACAGAGCACTCCACCCAACAAAAGCACATTTTTCTTCGTACATATGGATCATTCTCCAGAATAGACCATAAATTAGGACACTAAACAAGCCTCAATAGATTAAAAAACATTGAAATACTACAAAACATCTTTTCAGACACAATGTTATAAACTTAGAAATAAATAATAGGATATCACCTATTAGATGTCTTACAAGCATCTCAAAATCAACATATTTTAAGTCAAACTTCTCTTTCCTGCCAAACCTTCTCCTCTTCTATTCCCTATCTCAGTGAATGCCACTACCACCCTTTCAAGCAAGAAACCCAGATTCTTCCCTTCATCTTCATTACCATCATCCACATCCCACTTCCAACTCAATGATTTCACATCAACTTCTTAAGATTTATTCAACAAACATTTTTTAAACATTAATTTTGTGCCAGGTACCTAGCTGAATACCTGCACATGAAGAAAAATTAAGACATGGTTCCTGCCTGCCAGGAGCTCCCAATGTATGGGAAAACAGATGCTGGAAGTGCCATGATAGAGATAAGCACTGAGAGCTATGGAAGCACACAGGACAAGAAGTTAACTCCAGACTGGGATGATGACTGAAAGTTTCTTAAAGGTACTGATACTGGAGTTGCAGCTTAAAGTACAACTCAGGGTTACCCAGACCAGATGGTACAGCAGCTGGATCATTATTAGGCATTCAAAAAAGCTTTGTTGATTACCAGAACACAAGTAGTGACCTTATGAATTTATTTGACTAGATAATTCAATTAACTGAATACATTCAATAGCATCTTTAGTTTGTTCTCACGAATTAGATCTTGCTCTCTTATTTGCAAAATTTAACAAATTCTTTCTTCAAACCTAACAGTACAAAATACAAAGCAGAACTCAGCTCTATTTGTAATGAGTTTCAAATTGAGTAAATATTGTTTACAAAAATGACACAGCACTAAAGAAAAGGTTTTCAATGGACATTGAAAAGTAAATTTTGCAAAAGAATAGTGGAGTACATTGGAAACAAGTGGAATCTTACTTGTAAAAAGCATTGTGCACTGATGATAGAGTCCAGTAAGCTGGTAAATTCTTTTCCACATTCATAATTATTCACCTTGTACCAAATACATTCTAGAGCAGAAATATTAAACATAAGCAGTTGGTTGTATTACAATGAAAACTACACAAACCATAATTACCAATACTCTAAAAATGACAAATATAAACAAGCTGTGTCATACTTCCTAACCAACTCATAGTGCAGATGATTAATAGATACATGGAGATGACGGCAAGCTCCTTAAGAACTTGGAATTATACAGGCCTACCTCGTTTTATTGCACTTTGCAGATACTGTAGGTTTTTTT